GCAGCCAATCGTCCGTCGCGTTTGCGTCCAATAGGCCGGTACCGTCGGGATAGTGTCTGGGAAGTGCAGGTAATTACCTCGTGGGCGGGTGGGTTCGTTGTGACATTCAATCGGGGGGCCGGGGGCCGGCGCCCTTCTTCGTCTTCTTTTCGCTTTGGGAATGTCTTGGATTTTCCAGAACCCAAGTTGGCGGCCCCCTCCCTAATCAGAGCCCAATGTCGGGTGCACATGGAGATGCAGCCAGTCGCGTGCTTGCCACGTCGTCCACTTGGCCGCCTGTGAGAGGCTGTAGGAGAGGGAGACGACTTTTGGCCCGTTGACTCGCAGCTCTCTGTTCAAGAGCAGGGGCTGGTTGGCAGACATACTGCGCAGACAGAACGGGGACATGCGGTGTCCAGACAGACGTGATGATGTGCAAGACAGGCAGCAGCAGTCCGCTTGAATGGAGTTAATAGTTGGTTCCCCATGTGTGGGCGTTCAGAACCCTTGTGGTCTCTGGTCAACGAGAAGTAGGGGGGGATGCAGCGAACCGCGAGACAAGAGGCCTGTCAGAGTCATCTCGAGGCGAGGTGAAATGCCCCTCAACAAGCCAGCCGGGCCGCCAGGCGGCTAGAACATCACCGCAAAGAAGGGATCAAGTGAGTGAGCGCCGTCGGCGTTGTCTAGCAGCTAGGTGTTGAGAGGGGGTTGAGCGTCCGGATGCGGCCGGCGCCATGATCCCTTGGTTCATCATGAGGGCAGGAGTTTGTGAGTTGTGCCTGCGCTTGACAAGGGTTAGAGTCTCGGTAGACAGGCACCAACTTCTGTTTGTCTCTGCTAGGGCCCGGGACCAGTTCCACGTATCAGCCTTTGATTAGTGTGTCGACTGAGTTGCCCGAGACGGTGTGTCTTCAGTCGGCATGCGAGCTTGTCAGATCGCCAACAAGACCCAGCCGTGCAGCATGCCTCGTGACTGTGAGATGCGTCCACGCAGTGCCTCATCGTCAGCCTGGTTGGCAGTCGCAAAACTCCGTACCGAGTAGATGATACACCCAGCGACAGCGAAATGACAGCATTCAAAGGGTATCTCTTAGTGGCATATTTTGTGCAACGGTACCCATATCATGGGAAAACCCGCATGTTGAAGCAGACAACGCAGGATATTGCTGGTGTTAGTGCGGGAGGCAGACCTCAGTCCCAGCTGCCAGGTTCGTCGTTCCTGACTAAGTACAGCCGCTGACAATCATACTTGTGATAGAGGTGATATCACATCAAATCAACCAGAGAGATCGAGATTTTGGAATGGGAGAGGAGGGACAAGAGTGGCGGTATCGATAGGTATTCAGTATCCCTGGATGGGCAGGGTTGGAAGGGCACGGTAGACAGGCCGGGACCGTGATTGGGGAGAGGTGCGAGCATCCCGAAGCCTCGATGGAGGAGTCCAATGTCAAACAGCGGTGATGATAGAGGAGGCGGGGAGAATCGGTGACAGGCTGTCGGTGCAACATGGGCAAGAGGGAAAAAGAAAAGCAAGGTGGGTTTCTAGAATGGGGCCCAGATGCACCGTGTGTTCTGGCTTTGCCTTGTGCGGGTGTGTGTCTGTGGCCCATCAGCTGTGCCTTCCAGGCCGCCTGGCAGCACCGTAGCGCACTTCAAGCAGTTTGCGCCTTGCCATGGGTGGTGACGGTGCCTTCCTCTGCTGTCTTGCGTTGTAACTTGTGAGGTTGGTGGTTGCGGTGCATGGTGGACTCAACGCATGGATGCGCTCCGGTGCAGCAGTCCATGCCATGACTGTTTTCTGGGGCAGTGGATTGAGCCAGCAAAAAGTCGCATCCAGAAAAATTCCAGATTGAGAATGGGCGGAGGCTGCATCCACCATCCACTCATCCACAGGCCGGCGAGGACGAATCAGTGTGGAGGAAAGCGTCCGGGACAAGAGTTGCGGTCTGAGGCATCCCGCGTAGTTTCAGGGTTTCTGCCGGCCATGGGTCTCCGACTCTCACAGGTTTCCTTTGCTCCCTCCTTCGCTCCTCACCATCGGCCCAACTGACGGCACCGCGCGGTACCTACCGCCCAACCCCTGCCGTCATTCTCAGAGGTACGTACCCAGGTACCTTCTTATTCTGTCCAGGGCTGCGACTACCTTTCACTTACGGTTGACGGGACTCTTCCCCCGCCTAGCCCTTGCCTAGTGTGTTTGCAGAAGAGGAGCAGCAGCAGCCGGACACTCACCAGAGACGGGAAGACACGCACCGGAGAATCTGCCAGTCCTCATCGATGTAGTGTTGTTTGTTCGGTAGGTAAGCCGACCAGACTAGTCAGTGATTACAACCTCCGACTTTGTCTTGACTCTTGACCTGTACCCCCTTGGAACAGTGATGTTGTATGAAGAGAAGCTGTGTTGTACCCGACGATGGTCGTTGGGTCTTTCTCGTCATTCATATTTTCCTTCCAAGTTCCATGTATCCAGCCGTTGTATTTTTCTGCCCCTTCCTCTAGGTATTCTCGCCGGGTCCTCCGCCTTTGGTCCTTGTGACGCTATGCTGGGACCTGCAGCCGGGTCGGATCCATTCCATTCCTCGCGTTGGCTGCTGAAGGAATCCATCCGCGGCGCGACGCCCCCCTCCCCAGAGTTCCCGATTTTCTTCTCGGCGGAGAGGAGAGGAGAGGAGGAGAAGCGAAGCCCTTGGTCGTCGGTTCAACGCCTCGGTTGACAGAGACGACGCGGCCCATTACCCGGCGACACTCGAGAGGTGCGACTGGATGGTAGGTACTCCGTCCGTACTTACTGCCTGCGTAAGTATCCTACCGCAGACTTTTTGCAGAGGGCGGTTGGCTCCCCCGGAACTCAAAGGCAGAATCGGGTGAAGGCGCAAAGCTTTGTCGCTGACTTATTCCGATGGGGCTCTCAACGACGCTTCTGATTGCTACGGACTGTCAGGAACGCTTCCGCGGTGCCATGAGCACCAAGGAGAACCAAGCTCCCTCAAGTCCCAGACCTGCCCATGTCTCTCCGTTGCCCACAAGACACGCTCTCAACTTGACCAGAAACATTTCTACCGGGATAGAGCCGGAAGACGGGAAGGAGAAATCAAAACTCGTCGGGGAAATAAAAAGACGACGAAGCAGGGCGGGAACGGAGGGGGGCAGAGATAATTTGCGCTGCTAGTCGTTCTGTTAATACTGATCGTTCAGGCCCAAAAACGACATACCTACCACGTCTGCCTGCGTACTACCAAAAGTAATGTACCGTGAAGCTAAAAGATCAGGCATGGCCGTTGGGCAGACACATCAGGGTCGCCCCTTCCCATGTTGAGTCGTTTTATTTGCTTTTTTGGGATGTCCGTCTTCGAATTTTTCTGATTCCTTGGATCTTGTTCGCCCTGTGCCCTCCTTGCCTTACTCGTTGACATTGCATTCCCTTCCGCTCTCCGGGCCCCTTCTGCGAAGGAAGGTTTCTTCGGCCTTTGTCACTGTGCCCACCGCGCGCAGAGCGAGAGCAAGGAGCTCGACTCCGGGCCTGTCAAAACCCATTGTTTGTTTCTGCCGTTCCTTTGAAGGACGCCATTGGAAGGTTGGATGCGTTGGATGAAGTGTGTCATGCCCATGAGTAGGCTACTAGGCACACAACAGTACGGATGCACAACACGTACAGAGTACAAGCAGAACAGGGTGACGATGGGAATAGTGCATGCCCAAAAACAAATCGGACACAGGGCAATCAGATGGAACCTGAGGGAAGCCAGCTCTCTGTCTCCCTCCTCGCCCCAGTGACGGCAGCGGAGCATCTGTGCATTGCCTCTGCTTAACTGCGGTACTGTACGGCACCTGAGGCCGGAGACCAGGGCAGGTCAGTAAGGTGCCTATGGCGAGGTGGTCAAGGATACTTTCATCCAAGGCTGAGTACTTCCCTTCACGCAGCTGCAGAGGTTCCCAGGAACGGGGAGGCTGGTGAGCTTACCGTCATTCACCAGCAAATTACATCCCTGTCATCATGTCGCACTACCTGGCGCATGGGTCTCCTTCAGATGAGAAAGTACCTTTCCGTCCGTACCGTCCGTACCTGGACCTTGGATGAGGTAGGTCTGGCCCCTTGCAAACAAGGCATTGGTCTCCGGCAGGTGCTTTTCGATTTTTTTGGGCCGCTGAGGTCTCTGAGACTCTCTGGGCAGGTCGTAGTCGTCACACACTAAGAGCCCGCTCCTTACCGGCCGGTCCTTCCCAGCACCCACCACCACCTCACCCTTTCCCCCCCAACTACCTACCTACCTGTAGGTACAGCAAGCGCACTCGCTGAGTTGCCGTCGCCAGTCACTCGTGAGGTATCTTTCCGCCCAAAGCAGGTACGGCGATACTTCGAGTCACCTCTTCAACTCAGTGCTAGCTACAGCACACCACACCCGGCAAGCAAGCAGGGCAAGCACCTGCAGCCCGTGTTTTTGGCTTTGCACTGACCCGACTGCTTTACTGACCTCATTCCCGTCTGGTCTCCCGCTACCACCACTCGTCCGTCTTCGTCTTCGTCTTTTACATCAGACACACACACACACTCACGCTCTTCTTCCGCCAACTTACACCACCTTTACCACTCTGGACTTCTTCCCCCAATCCCCTCATTTTTGAGCTTCTTACTCTTTCTCTGACAACACTCATATCATTTCACACCAGATCACTTTCTGTTACTTACTTCCACAAGTGTCCCCGTCAGACACATCCACAGCAGCCACCGAGCCAGCACCAGCTTAGCCACTCGTCGACCACGAAACCTACCTCTCAGAGACAGACACACGACCGCGCATCCGCCTCGCCTCCGTCCTCCAAGCACCGGCAGCCGTAGCCATCGCAAACCTCGTCTACCCTGAATTCCATCCTAACCCACGTCGCATTGTCGAACATCATGATAGGCCTGCTTCCGAATTACGACTGCCGGCTCCCGTGTTAGAACCCACATTGGATTGGTATGAGGACTACCTTAGACGAGGCTCCATTCCCTTTGCTGTCTCACTTGGAAGTCCTCGGCCATGGAAAAGACATCCAGCACCACGAACGGGTCCTCTGACGCAAGCCAGTCACGATTAGAACCCCTAGAGACGTCTACCACTACTACTCCCTCCCAATCCACCACCCTCGAGCGCCAACCTTCCTCCAAGCAATCCTCGGCCACCACATCCCTAACTCCATCACCATTCAATTCGAGAGATACCTCACCTACCCGTCAGACCGCCAAACCTACCGCCGCGACTACTCCCAAGACGACTGCTGGCCTACGCTCGCGCAAGAGCAGCAGCCAAGACTTGACCGCGGTTCGAACCCCCAGATCCACCACCAGCATACCAGGCCCGCCGACATCGTCAAGGACCCTCTCCGCCGCCACAACCCCTACACTCCTCCCACACTCCCAAGAATCATTTCTCAAATCAATCAATCCGCAAAAGACGCCGCTCAATACCGAGGTTGCCCAAACACGAGATAGCCCTCGCTGGCCTGTGTCGCCTCGCTTGCGCTCTCCCCCTCCGCAGCTTGGGAAGCCTCAGAATCCTCCTCCGCAGCCACCACGTCGAGCAGAGCCGGAGCCTCCCAAGATAAACCTCACGAGAGCATCTCCTACCCCTCAATCCGAACCCTTCCCATCCGTATCCGAGAGCGAGACAGACGACTCTCAGCTTCCGTCTGGAGTGCGAACCCCGGTTACGGGCTGTGGATCCGCATTGGAAACGGTGCAAGAAGTGAGCTTACCGAACTCTCCCGGACAGATGGATTCCACGTTAGAGAAGGTCAACGAGAAGCTGGCCCACGAGGCAGCTGCCAGCGCCGACAACGTTACCCAAGTGGACCGAGCTGCCCGGTTAAGTCGAGGATCTCTGCACACTACAGACGGCGACACTGGCACAGTGAGAGTGCGGTCGCAAAGTACAGCTCCCGTGCCCACAGTCACGCGACAGTCTAGTGTACTGTCAAACAAGCAGGGCAAGAACAAGGCAGCTGGGGAGGGATCTGGTCTCATCGTCGAGACGGAGACTGTCTCTTCCATTCCCCAGGTGGCATTGGCACCTGCTGCCAAATTGGAACCCGGCACCGGTACCCTGAGAGCGAAACCTAGCACGGAAACTATTCGACCCAAGAAAGAGAAGAAGAAGACCAGTCGGAAGCAGCCGACTGTGAACCCCGGAAATGGTAAGAGATCTCGTCCATACTTCAATTGCTCCTCTACGAAATGACGCCCTGCCTTGTTACCTGATGAGCAACGAATATGGTGGTATGGCAGGGCGACATCTCGAAAAAAAAAAAAAAAAAANAAAAAAAAAAAAAAAAAAATCTCGACGCTCTGTAGATCATCTTAAGCAGTTGGCTGACTTGCAATCGCTGTGTAGCATCATCAAAAGCAGATATTTTTGAGGCTAAAGTGGCCAGCGCCGTTGATGAGGCGAATACATCAGACTCTGAGGAGACCTTCGTCTACGACTCCAACCCTCCTGATGTTGAAAGACGTCGGTATCACTCGCGAACACCCAGCGCTACCTCGATGATTAGCCAGGCCGACAGAGCCGGCGCCCTAGGCATGCGCTCAATCCACGAGGCTTTGCAGGTAAACACAGCCGCGGGACTGAAGAAGAGCATGAAGTTCGTAAACACCTTCAACAGTAACGGCGCTGAAAGCTTAGGCGCCGACGACGATGGGAAGGGCAGTGGTAGAAGTGCGGGCGTCGGATCAGGAAGAGGCACAGGGAGACATCATCACCACAATCACTTCGGTCGCTGGGGTCGTCACCCTGGGAACACGCACCCTTCGCTCTTCGACAATGAATCTCTGTTTCCGAACGCGGCCCGATCTAAGATGTCGGCCAACAACTCGAGACAATCGTCAGGCCCTCCTAGTCCGAGAGTCGCGAGTTCAGCTAGAGGCGGTCCCCACGCTCTCGGAAAGCGGTCCTCGATTCAAATGGCCCGCTACGACGCTGATGATACGACAACTACCGGCGCCGATGATGAGCGCACCCCTCTACTCACATCAACGGTGCGATCGGCGCGTAGAACGCGCCGTCACCCCGCAAACCTGCGAAATCTCGAATCGCAGTCGTACAGGCAGCAGCCGTCATACTTGAACCGGTTCGCTGCTTGTCTGGTAGTAACCATGATGCTGTTGCTTGTTATCACCGGCGCAATTGGCTTCATGTTCGCTACCTCTCAACCACTGACGGACATTGAGCTTGTATCCATCAAGAACGTCCTGGCCAGCGATCCGGAGCTGATGTTTGACTTGACGGTCAAAGCTCATAACCCTAATATTGTGGTGGTATCAATCGACCAGGCAAATCTTGAAATCTTTGCCAAATCTCCTCACGCTGGTACCGATTTCGATTGGTGGAAGCGACCGCATGGGGACGAGTTGGAAGACCCAAATGTGCATATTCGCGACGATCCTCCCGACGACCCGCCCGACGACGACGCCGCCCCAAACATGCGTCTCGGCACAATCACCGAGTTCGACAGCCCGCTGTCCTTCGAAGGGTCTTTTTTCAACAAGGGCGTCTCAGCATCAACTGGCACCATGCGACTCCATCTACCAGGCAACCACTCCGCTGGAGGTTCTGAGCGTTGGGGACGCATCATCCAGGACGAGTTCGATCTTATTGTGAAGGGGGTGGTGCGCTACTCCTTACCACTCAGCCAGCGAGTCCGCAGTGCGCCGATATCTGGCAGAACCACAGTCAAACCCAACTCTGCCAACGACCCATCTCTCCAGCCCAACATGACCTTACCCGGAGACCTACCAGAACTAGAGTCCTGATGGTCTTGACGGCGGTCGACACATTCGACCATTTCCTTTGTCACTTGTTCTGTATATTGAGCGTGCATGGCATGGCATTAGCATTTCAAGGGGAAAAAAGTGGCGTTGAATGGTAATTTCCAGCAACAAGCGCTTTGGGACAAAGACAGACAAAAGCGACCTGTACATATCTCTTCGTTTCGCGAGCATCGCCAATCACGATGTCTCCTCTTTCAGCTGGCGTTCGTTCGGCTTTTTGTTTGCGTTTATTTTCTCCTTTCGGCTTACCACGATTTGTGGGCCATCACATGTCCTTACTGGGCACACCTCAGGAAGCGCAGCGCACTCATTCAGGAACGGGACTTGTTCACTTGGGGTTAGGGGACTGGAATTTGCTTTTTATTCTTTTACTGTATCACGGACTGGGAATCTTCTTCTTATGAGACGGCCTTTTGAACTCTGGGGGTTTTGCATTAGATGGGAAAAGTGGCAACTACACTGTTGTAATTGTAACGAAGCTTTTGATGACCAACAGGAGAAACGGGAAGAAGAGTCGGGTCCACCCAACGAGGTGTGACCTCAAGAAAAGTCACATTCAACCAAGGCTACAGTGCTGTCGATGGACTAGTGATGGGTGAGATTGGAAGTCAGATAGAATGCCTCACACGTCTCTAGCTGGATAGCGACGTGTCAGTGAGATAATTTTGCCTAGGCAGAGTCTCCTTTGCAGGAAGTAATGAGTCCATATTACCCGTAATGATCATCTCAGCGTGGTCCAGGAGCAAGACCACTAGACATGTGTTTGCTGGATCAGCAGCCAGCCAACCTGGCAGATTGTGTGAACTGATATCAAACTGACCGCCTTTACGGGTTCGAGCCCGAAGGAATGTTTTGTGGGTAAACAACACGACGTAACAGACGTGGGGTTTGGGTTGCCGCGGGAGAGTGTCTTGTTGTTCTCCGATCGGAGCGGTCGGGCTCGGGGCCCACATCGAAGCAACCCTCTATCTCGCAATTTTCTTTTCTTTTTCCTTTTTTCTTTTGCCACGCCTCTAGAATCCCTCCACGTCAAGCTAGCCGGTGACATGCCCCCCCTTTCATCCTTCCCTGTCCGCTGCCAACTTTGTGTTTAATGATAAGGATCACGAGGAGGAGAACTGGTGAAGTGGTCCCCCGTTACAAGTTCCTCGTGATGACGATAGTCTGCTTGTTCCCATGTCTACATGGAACTGGGTGAATGCCGGCGGTTGCGATTATTATTTGGATTGGGCATCAGTACAGACAGTCGTTCCCCTGCTTGGCGGGAATCACTGCCAACTCTCTATGACTGCCTGGGCCCTGGATACCGACCTACATCGTACACAAGTAGTAGGAGTCTTGGGACCGCGCAAGGCGCCGGTTGAGCATCCACACGATCCACTTCGTCTTGAATCCTTGCAAGCTCATTCGAGGAACATCGGGCAACTTGGCCGAGCGGTCTAAGGCGCCAGACTCAAGCGTCAGCTTGATCCTCTCAGAGGATAGCATTCTGGTATCGAAAGATGCGTGAGTTCGAATCTCACAGTTGTCACATTTTTGTTGCTTAGAGGTTGGATGTGATGTTGTCTTCTGCTGATTGGGTATCTGTGTATGCTTGCATTAATCCTTTTTGGTCTTGCGTGGGTTTAGTTAGATGTTGCCCACCACAAATGAGGTTTATGGCTGGGGGGTGGGAACTGAGTCTGACAAATCCAAGCCTAGCAGCTGTTGATTCAACTCATGGTTCCAGTTGATATTTACAGCAAGCATTTGAGTTGATTGAGTGCCCGGAAATAATGTTGTGGGCAGCGGTGTCTGTGAGCGTCCTCGGATAAGCTTCGGGAACCTTTTCCCAACGTCTGAAATAACGCAAGTAACTGTACAGATTGTGCCATTGACATTACAAGAAACGAGTCATATAGCACGCAACAACACTTCTCACTTACTCTTCATATCTCTCTTGTTCGTCAACTGTGAATTTTGCTTCCACCGCCATCTAAACTTCCTAGTCACCAGCAATGCCCGTCATCAACACCAAGGAGCCCGCCTCGGCCGTCGCCGCCGCCCTCAAGGCCGAGGCCAGCGAGGACAAGCCCGCCTACCTCGTCGTCTACGCCTCGCACCGCAACGGCAAGTCGTGGTGCCCTGACTGCACGGCGGCGGAGCCGTACATTGAGAAGAGGTTTGCCGGGGATGAGGGTACCGTCAGGGTTGCCTACGCGGGGTTGCCCGAGGAGTGAGTTTTCCCCCATTCCCACGGTCTGCTTGTCTGCAAAAGTCACGTTTGCAAAATACCAAGAACATGCACGCGCGGAATTGGACTTGGATAGTCGCTGATTTGGATATACAGGTGGAGGACCAAGGAGAACCCGTGGAGACAGGAGCCGTTCAACGTGACGAACCTGCCTACCTTGATCAAGGTCTCTGGCGAGAAGGTGAGTTTGCTTCGCTGCCCGTTCTAACTCGAGTTCGGTTCAAAGAGTCATGGCCGCTGACATGTGACTCTGCCAGAAGTGGGAGAAGCTTGTTGAGGCGGACGTCTACAACCAGAAGAAGCTTGACGCCTTTGTCAGCCGCTTGTAAATCCCATACGCAGACGAATGAGTAAAATGACTATCCAAAGTTGAAAGCGCCCAATGACCAGACTTTGTTTCTTCCGGTCCCCAGTTGAACCGTGCTTCTCTCATCTCATCACAAGGGAAATGTGTGTGATTTCACGGAGATTTTCGGTCTCGGAATGGAGGTCCAAATTGAGTGGTCTATGCATGGAAATAAGGGGTCCTGGGGGGAAAAAACGTGGCTGGTGGGGGAGATGATGATTATGCGGAAAAAGAGGCCGCCTGGTCTTGGTTGAGCTGCTCTGAGGTCTCGTGTTGGACGAGGATGAAGCCTGTCTTGAGTCGCGAAACGGACGGGTTTCATGAGGCCTAGACGCGTGTTCGTGGGCGGAAGGCAGTGCGTATTTCTCAGCGGCCGAGTCAGACGTCTCAACAATATGGGAAAGTTTGATGACTACCAGAATGTTCTTCCAAAGGGTATAAGTTTGCCGTCGGACAAAGAGATTTGAACTCCATGAATTATGAATTCTGACGCGAGGTCGTGGCATAATCCTGGGGCTAGAATTGCTCATGTTTTGACAGACACTTTAAACGGTCTTTTAGATGGCCACTGATGAGGAATGTGTATAGTAGCGATGGAACGGAATGTAGTTCGTCGCCTGGAGCGGTTTGGCTGAAGTGAAAACCTGTGGTATGCCGGAAGAAGCGGTAATGCTAACATCACTTTCGGCCACGAGAGACTGTGCTCATCGACGGCCTGGTGGAAAAGATGCTCTTGAAATAAGACCGCGATGGCTTCGCATAGCTCGGAGTATACACGTTTTCTCGACTTGTGCTGTTGAAACAGTCTTTTCCCCCCTCGTACCGCCGCCTATCTTTCAGATAGATGTACTGTCTGATGGCTGAAAGAAATTTGAGATTGTGATTCAAGGAACAAGGGAGACGAAGACGATGGAGACAACGAGACAACGAGGTACAATCGCCGTAGCACGATAGTAGTTTCTCTTGAAGACCGGTAGACCAACAACTATTCCGTACTTAGATACTAACATCCGCAAATACCTCTGTTCGTAGTCGTGGATCGTAGAAACTGCCAGAGTCTTCGCCACGTCATACACGCACTGAGATCATGACAAGATTCCGCAGATAGCCTTCTCCCTTGCAGCATCTGAGGAAAGAGTCGTGCACTCCAAGACCCAAACCTTGGATCTCCTGTCATCCCAATCATTGAAAGCTATCCAACTCTAAACCGACTCAGGCTCAGTCCGACAATCTTCATCTGAAAACGGACCTCGTTCTTTTCGCGGCTATTCTTAGGTTCTTGGCCGCCACAGTCTACCACTATCTGCGGTTTCCAGACAAACATGACGCACACAAGCACGACAATCACAGAGCAGCTTGGAATTACATAGCTAACATCAAACCATCTCTGCATTACTCATGTATCTATCCAACATTACACCTCTTCAGCGAATACCATGGGATTTGGCAAACCCGCAAGGCTAAACTATGCAAAGACGCCCGTCATCAAGTAGTCTCAGCATACTGTCATGCTGTTTTGTTCATGAACACCATTGGAAACACGTATCCCTCATCTTCCTATGCTTCAATTCGTCCCTCATGCACAGGCTTGAGAGCCAAACAAACATGTCTTGCCTCCTCCTCCCTCTTTCAAAAAAAGAACTGATGAATAGATATAGTGGGTTTTAAAGAATAAGTACCTGGCCATAAGAAAGCAAGAGCACCTCTGCCAAAAAACAGAAACAGAAAAACAAGATGCTGGCGACGGGGCGCTGTCTTCGTCTCGTACAACTAAGCTGCAATGCCACCAGACCTTTAGTGATGTGCGTCCGCAAAGCTAAGTTAAAAAGCTAGTGCCATATGAAGGACCCAAAGGACAAAAGAGTTCCAGCGTTCCCGCGAAAGAGAAGGGGTATCCCGTCTGTCTTTTTTTCTGTATCCAACGATGCCAAAGTTTTTCGCCCGGTTGTGTAGAAAAATGGATGCGATTGTGCCAAAGCATAAGGGAGAAGTCATAAACATAACGGCGTAATCATGTTGCGGCGATTACTCGGGGATCGGGTCGCTATTGGCGGCCGCGTTCTCATCCTTCTTGCCCCAGCCGGAGGCCCAGCCCATCCAACTGGATCGCTTGTTGTTCTCCTGCTTGGCCTCGGAGTTCTCCTGCACCAGACGCAGAGGTCGGGGCTTGTTACCGCCGGCGAACGTGGTCTGCTTCTCGTGGTGGGAACGCGGAGGCGACTGCGAAGGGGGCGTGGTGATGTCGCCCGAGTCGCCGCTCATGCTCGAGGTCTCGCTGCGCATGCCGGGGAAGTTACCCGCCGTAGGCGCCTGCTGGCCGCTCGGAGCCCGCGCCGCCGCGTTGGGGTTGCCGTTGAAAAAAGTTTGCGATGTTCGTGGGGTGCGCGGGGAGCCAAGGGGCGGTGAAATGGGCCCGTCCCCCGGACCCTTGTACATCTGGCTGACGAGGTTCACGCCGGTGAATTGCTCGCTCATCGGACGGGAGCGGCGAGTGCTGGAGGAGCGGGTCAAGTTGCCGATAGGAATGCGAGGCGCTGTCTCCGGATCGGTGTGCGCCGAGTTCGCTGGCGTGGCCGAAGGCATGTAAGACATGGGCCTCGGCTTGGGTTTGTTCGGGCCGACGGCCATGGTTTTGGCGCGCTGCAGGAGCGAGGCTCCGGATGCAGGCGGGAGCGGGAGTTCTTTGTTGGTGTTGGCCGCGGCAGGCTTGGGCTCGCTCGATGTGTCGAGGATGTGCTCGAAGTCCTGGTGCTGCAGAAGTCTCTCAATGATCTTGTTAATGTAGAGCGTCAACGCCTTGTTCTGATCCTTCATGCCCTTGAGCTCAGACTCGAGGCGGCGGACATGCTCGTTGTTATTATCGGACGTGCTGTCTGAAGCCTCGGACAGCTCATCGGCCAAGCTTGCGCCGCCAGAACGGCCCTCGAGGGCATTGAGAGCATCCTGGTTGGCGGAGACACCCATGTAGCTGAAGTCGTTCTTAGAGAAATCGCCATTCAGGGTCTTCTCCTGCAGGAGCAGCTGGTAGCTCTCGTTGTCCTCCATAAGGCGGGCGTTTGCCATGCGGGCTTCCATTAGTAGCCGTTCCACCTCCTGCAGCCTCCCGCCACCCTGGTTCTCGGATTCGACCAGCTTGATCTGGGCCTCGGCAAGTTCCAGGCGCAAAGACTCAATGAGCTTGTCCTTCTGGAGGATCAGCTTGGAGTTGTTCCGCGAGTCGCTGCGGTTGAGGGAGGAAGGTGGTGCAAAGCTTCCGTTGTCAACGTTGGGTGACGTCGCCGCTGCTGCTTGATGTTAGTAATAAGGCGTTGATGGACATGATGAAACACCTACATTGCCTTGAGGACCTGCTGCCCTCCTCGTCGTTCATTCTTTGCGACAGGGTGTCCTTCAGCCTCTGGATGATGGTCTGCATCTCCTCCTCCCTGTTGTTGAACTCTTCCTTCTCCTTGTTCATAGAACTCCTCTCGGCCTCGTAGATGGTCTCCATCTCGCGCATCTGCCTCGCGTTTTCTCTCTTCTCGTTGCGCAGGGTCTCGATCTGTTCCTCGGTCTCGTGCACCTTCTCTTCCAGCTTGGCAGACTCCTTGAGCGCATCATCCAGCCTCGTCTGCAGTACTTCGGCCTGTTTCCTGTACTGCTCGGAGGAGATTTCGGCCTTGGAGAGGCGCTCCTTGAGGTCGTCAAGCAGCGCAACAGTTTCGGCCCTAGCAGCTTCCTCGGCGTCGGTGTTGCTGGTGTCAGGAGCAGTAATGTTGGGGGTGCTCATGGTTGAGCCTCTCCTGGCATGGGCGGCCACACGAGCAGAGACGGGGGTTGTGGTGCGAGGGGGACCTCTGCGCGGAGCTGAAGTAGCGGTCGGGGTGGAAGATCTCGAGGGGGTTCTCGCAGGAGAAGAAGAGGGCGAGGCTGAGTCGGTAGAAGAGACTCTACCGACACCGCCGGCGGGCGGCTTCTTTGCAGTAGCAGCTGACATTATTGTCGCGGCGGGCTTTGTTTGTGGCGATGGTGTTGTTGTGTTCTAGTCGCGGCGGAGGTAACCTGGGGAAACGGGAGCGGGGGAATCGCCCTTCTTTTTTTTGGTCGAGGTCTGGGGATAAGGGCAAGCACTGCGGTGTGTGCAATGTGCCGTGTGGGTGCGGGTTATTTCTGTAGTGACGATGTTTCGTTCCAGAGGAAACAATCTACCTCAGCAGAATGTTGTAATGGCTTATTCTTGGAACAAGTGGCGTAGTGGGAGGAGGGACAAGACGGAGGGGAGTCGGTCTTGTTGTCGATCGTTGGGCCCCAGAAGTCAGAGATGGAATGCGAAAGTGTGCTGTGCTGTGCAACGCAGGTGCCAGTGAAGAGGGCCAAGTAGTAGGAGTGCGGTGCAGAAAAGAGGGTGTGCGGCAGCAGCTGTGCAAGCTTAAGTCGTCGGGTGTCAGACAGTCAGCCCCGGTCAGGTAAGGTACCTGCGGTTTGTACTGCGTATCTGCCCGTACACGGAGAGCAGCAAGCAAATCCACAAGTCGGATGCGTTTTGTCGGTGACGGTGACGGTTGTCCAGTCACTGTCCAGACCGCAGGGACTGTCTCCAGCGAATTTCCGATATATCGGGGGGTGTCTCCAGGGGTTTAATTCGCTAGGCCGTCGGGAATGGGAGGGCGTCGACCAACCAGCACTCGGGGAATAGCTCGACCTGAGAAACGATGCTTTTTTTTGTCTCCCGTCCAACTCCAGGCCGCTAACGTTGCGCTGCGTCTGAGTCTCTTCTCTTCCCGCTCAAGCACCGAACCTCCTGCAGAACGAACCAGCCGTCATACGCAAACCTTCACAGCGACCACCAGGAACTCTGAATCTGAACCCCGTAGTTCGGTCAACGCTATGCTTTCCTCGATTGCTATGCTCGCGCCGTGTTGCGTCTTGCCGAGACTCTGTTGCTGTCGTTGGATGCGTCCGAGGGCACTGTAGGAACCTCTTGTTTCAGTCACCACCAGTCCCGTCTCTTCCTCTTTCAGAGAAACTGCTGTGTCGAGTCGGGCTCGGTGGCTCGATGGCGGGACGATGACGGCAGTGCCAGGCAGTGGCCAGCGCTGCGCTGCGAATGCGGATGCTGCACACGCCGTCTCGTCTTTTGCGACAAGATGGGACGACTGCGACGGTAACCTTCTCTCGTGCTGCTGTGGCGAGGGTATGGGAACTGGCTTCTGGGAAACGGTAGGTGAAAAGAGGCAACAGGACTCGCCTTCCATGTACGTGAACCAGAGGGCAGACCACCAAGGTTTATACGGCTTTGATACTCCGTCCTTCAAAGTCGAATCAAATCGCGTCTACAATAACAACAAAACACGTAAACCACAATCACTGCCATCAGCGAATAGGAACTTGATGCAGTTTTGGGGTCTTGCTGAAACACCCTCGTCGCTGTCGATAGTCTGTCAGGCATAGCCCTTGGGATGCCATGTTCCTCGCCTCGCTCTCGTCCGTCCCTAATCCCTATAGCCATCTGCTATCTGGTGTCTCCTTCCCTAGCGGAAGCCTCAGGAATACCCGGCCGCGCTCCCTTGGACGTAGGGAACCGTTGTACCTCGCAGTAGCAAGCTGCTCACATCTACCACGACGTCTTAGCAAGCACATGCAATGGTAGGGGTCCTCCGCAACCCGCACCCCTATTTCCTCCATGCTGAGGAACCGGAATGCGGAGCCCGTCCATGTTAGTGGGCTCGGCCCGTCTTCTGTACCCAGGTCCCCCATCGAGTCATTGGACGACAATCTGCACGAGACCGGCCAGAACTCACCTCAGTGGGAACTATGAAATTATCCTCATGTTGCCATTAATGCACACTGCCAGAGCGAAGGCAGCCTTCCTGTTCCAGTATTAGAGAAAGCCATCTTGACACCCATACTAATTTGCTGTCCTCCTGACCAGCGGCTGACAGCTGCCGAGACGGTGACAACCATCAACCCAGCCCGGTTCCGCAGACGAACAGGTTTGACGGGACGGGAAGCATCTCATTGTTTGGCTCGGTCATGGTCATGGCACTGTTCCACCGTTGAAGTCTAAGCCACGGGCACCACCAGCTTGGTTGCTTGGGAGGATCGACTTCCGTTGGTGAAAGCCACAGATCCAATCCAACCGCCACGACGGATGACCACAGGCATGTATGATTATTAGACACGCAAGTGTGGCTTGGTAACACTGCCAAGGAGGGACATTGAGCACTGATGAACCTCGCTGAATGGCTGGGTAACAGGCGAGTCTTTTTGATTCAAAGGTGGCCTATCTGGTCTGTCATGAAGTCGTTCTTTTTCGCGACCTTTCCGAGGTATCATAGCGGCATATCCCAAGCCGCGCATCCCAAACTGCGAAATGCATTTTTTACTTTGACCATTTCCCTAACGCCGTTCCCAGCCAGCCCAATTTTGGTTCAACCTCTTAAGCAACCTGGTCGCTGAGGATGTCGGAGTCACCGGCGTCGATGATGGCCATGGTGCCGCAACGGAAGAGCTTACCGCAGGCGGTACCGAGCTCAATCTGTGGGTATAGCAGGTAAGCCTTTGTTCACCCTCCAAAGTCTGAATATAGACTTCTTCGCTGGGTTGGCCAAGGGACATTGTCTCCGAGACCGATAGCAAGAGAAGAAAGGGCGCCAAGCACTTGCTTGACGCTTACAGAGCAACATTGGTAATCAACTTACGTTGGTGCCGGAGAAGTGGTGGACGGGGGCCTTGGAAAGCATGGCGTAGTACTCAAGCTCGGACTTGCGGAGAGGGGGAGTGTTGCCAGCAATGAGGATAAGCCTGGTGGCGATGTTAGAAAGTGTTCGAAGGCTGCGGCTTCCGAAGTGGTGAAAAACGTACTTGGCCTTGCCGGAGCGGAGGGACTTGAGGGTCGACTTGTAGCCCAGGACGACCTTACCAGACTTCATCACAAGCGCAAGCCTGCTGTTGATGGAGTTCTGGTCCTTCTTGTTCTTCTTGATGGGAGCCATTGCGACTGAGTTTTGGGCGAAGTTGGCCGGTTAGTTGGGTGCGGGCGTTGGGCGGAAGTTGTCGTCGATGTCGTCGCAAGAAGAAAAATTGCAAAGCGGTTTTTTTGGTTTTGACTTGCTCTGGAAGGGGCGGGGGATTCTGGGAAGTGCGACCAATCAAATCGCTCCTGCCTCCCTGAGCCCTAAAGAGTAGGCAGGTCCGTGTCCTGGCTCCTGCCTTTAGCGAGCGTAGGTGGGGCCGTCGCCACAAAGATTTCTCAGCAAAAGGCCGGTACGATGACAAACCCATCGACGCTCCTCACTTCACAAATAAGCCGGTAGGTCCAGGTTTTGTCCCCCTCGCCAACCCCAACTAACCCAACACCACAGAACAGTTCGACGGATCCCGTGAGATCAACACCGACAAAATGGCCCGCCGTCCCGCCCGTTGCTACCGCTACTGCAAGAACAAGGTGAGCATTATCGAATCCTTGTCTTCTACGACGACGCCCAAAATCTTAAGCCAAGTCTTGCGCACTGGAGAAGGAGAGAAGGGAGGAAACTCCGCGTCAAGAGGACTGCGATGATCTTCGCCTTGAAAACAGCCTGTGTGCGATGGACATACGGCACATTTTGTTGGAATGGGATGCGGGCGTCGTCGCGGGCGATAATGTGCCTTTTTTTTGTTTTTTCCTGGAACGATTATGCTGACAAACTCCTTTTTTCCAGCCGTACCCCAAGTCTCGGTTCAACCGTGGTGTCCCCGACCCCAAGATCCGTATCTTCGATCTCGGTCGCAAGAAGGCTAACGTCGACGACTTCCCTCTCTGCATCCACCTCGTCTCCAACGAGTATGAGCAGCTGAGTTCCGAGGCCCTCGAGGCCGCTCGTATCTGCGCCAACAAGTACCTCGTCAAGGTTGCCGGCAAGGAAGGTTTCCACCTCCGTGTCCGCGCTCACCCCTACCACGTCGTCCGTATCAACAAGATGTTGTCTTGCGCCGGTGCCGATAGACTTCAGACTGGTATGCGTGGTGCCTGGGGCAAGCCCAACGGCACTGTTGCCCGTGTCAACATTGGCCAGATCATCATGAGCGTCCGCACTCGTGACTCCAGTACGTCATACGCGGAAGAAAAGAATCACTTTGCAAACGCTAACAACTTCAACAGACAAGGCCACCGCCCTCGAGGCCCTCCGCCGCTCCCAGTACAAGTTCCCCGGTCGCCAGAAGATCATTATCTCCAAGAACTGGGGCTTCACTCCTCTCCGCCGCGACGAGTACCTCGACAAGAAGGCTGCTGGCCGCGTCAAGGTCGACGGTGCCTACGTCCAGTTCCTCAGCAACCACGGTTCGCTCAAGGAGAACATGAAGCGCTTCCCCGACGCTTTCGCCTCTGAGGCTTAAGAAGGGAAAAGATTCGTGTTTCTTATGGGATTTGGGTTTCTACAGGCTGGCGTCTAAAGTGAATTGCATGTCATCATCAAGAGAGTCATGCCGAGGCAGGCTCTAGATAGGAATTCAATCATTGGCATTCCATACGTCACATATGAGCACCATGCGATTACTGACTGACGAACTGCTTGATGAACGGGCATCTGGATCTGGGGAAAGGGTGGAACAAAATCAACGGACTTTGTGAGTAGGGTCGTAAGCAGGCTTAGTATGAAGCTTAATGTACGGCCTACTAGGCAAACTGATACCCTTACTTTTTCTCCGAGACATGCATTCAACCCACAGGAAGTGCTGAGGCTCAAGCTAAGATGATGTCAACGTGTGAATCCGTGTGTCGCTAGTAACGCATCGTGGTCGACGGTCTGGCCCGTGGATCATCCATAGCATTGAATAGCACTGCATGGGTGGGCACGTACACAACGTGGTCACGCGGACGCCCCCATCTGCCAGACTGCGCCCAGCTTGTCTCGAGGAGGTCCCTGGAAGGGGGCCCATCTGATTACCAGAAATGAGGTGCGCTTGACGCTGAATGAGATGGGGCTTCTTGAGGCAAACCGTACGTAATGACTGCAAATATTTTTTTCTCCCATCCTACGTTATGATTCAGGCCTCCGTCCGGCGGGCTTTATCCGGATGGCTGGGAAGTGAGGTAGCCTTGATGTCGTAAGCACAACGCAGAGGCTGAAGGAAGTAGCCGAAGCTGAGAGATACGTGGTTTGAATAAGATATATAGAGTAACATAGGCTTATGTTCAGCTACTTGCCTGAAAGTCACATAAGAATAGCCATCTGACAGTAGCATCTTACTACGCATGTATCTTGGAGGCCCAGTGCAGGAACAACCGAACCAGCCGCACGCCTCACCCTTCTCAGGACGACTTGTCAGAGATGCAGGCGCAAGCGCAGAAAGGCAGACACGACGGGAGCAGATGGTGCGCGCCAGTAGGAAGGCCGCAGCGAGATCTAGGGTTGCTGGTTGGTGGGATGAAATGGGGGGAGATACGTTCACCAGAGGGGAGCGACGCGGACTGTGAAGCGACGTTCGGAGGGCAAGCCAGCAACCTCTCAGCGAAGAGGGTGGGCGGCGATCAGGTCCCACCGAGATCCCAGGTGACCCAAATGACGTTATCGGGATTTCGGATGGTGTTCGGTGTGAGACCGTTGGGTGGGAGTTGGAGTTGGAACGTCTTTTGGGCGTTGGCTTTGGGGTATAGTTCAAAGGCTTGGTCTTGGTACCTCGACACGACTCGTGAGAGGTTCGAGAAGACGCCTCAGCTGCTCCGAAATTCGGGATGGGGAGAGAATGGCCCGAAAAGGAGCGCGAAAAGAGTCATTAGAGTGGGATGGGAGATTTTTTTTCATACACTATTTCTCTCTCTAGGAGGGGCCGAAGACTCGGAATGCTGCATTGATCTCGGTGATAAGCTGATGGGGGTGAGATGGAATGGGAGTCCTGGGCTGCAGATGCCGCCACCCTGCGAATGGGAGGTCGATATGCATCACCACAAGCATGGGCTGGCCTGTTGCAATATTTGGCTATTGGAAAAACAGATAGCCACGGCGGTCGCTGCCAACCCCCTGAAGTTTATGTACGAGACAGATGACCATGTCGAAGGTTGAAAGGAGAACTGGCCCATCTTTTGTTGTTCCAGCCTCCCGCAGTGAGGGCGGGTATCAATTCCAGTGTACTTTTGGCATGTCACTTGACATTGCAAGTGGACTCGATATCGTCACCGATGAACCGGGCCAATCTGCACCGCAACTGCTCTGCCTGTCGCCTGCCAAACGGCGGCAACGGGTGACTGAGACGACGCAGCCGTTGCCCGCCCGCAAGGTGATTCGTAGAAAAGCAAAAAATGACACGAGTGTTTTGTTCTGGATTTCCCGTATCCGTACAGCAAAGCAAGCTCACCTGTTGGAGCGCGTCCGCACACGTAGTGGGAAACAAGCAAAGCAACAAACAGAGTTCATAGCTTCTCCCCTCCATTCTAGACAGAGTCTTACCGCCATGTCTCAGTCTCATCATGTCCCCTCCGCTCAGGGCGCATCTGAACCATTGCAGCAGGTCCCAAGGGGGGAAATGGTGTGGCAGCCTCTCAGCGCAGCCAGTGACCAGCCAGCCTCTAGGAGGGGCCTAACGCCATCCGCACCTCATCAGTCAAACCAGTCAGCCCAGCACCAGGCCAGTTCATGGATGAGTGGGTTGTCAGGACTCGGGCTCATGGACGTCTCCAACAAGTCGGTGGGCGACGGGTTGACAGACAGTGGGTGGTGGTGACTGGCATTCGCAACCGCCGCCGTAGGGCCCCCGAGCCAAACCAAAGGCAAAAAAGGCCATGGATGGGTGTCCCAAAGATTTCCCTTTGGTTGTTGTCTTGATCGTGGATCCCTTGCCCGCCGCACGCGAGCACATCATCCCTCCCCAAGTGTTCCTCACCACGAGCAGTGTGTACCACCATTCAGAGCACCAAGCCGTGTGTGCCACCCCCATTCCCATTTCCCGGTCTCACTTTGGCGCATTCATCCGCCCCCCTTCTCCCCCTTCCATTCGCTGTTTCTCTCGTCTCCTGTGCCCCCTTCCTGTTGATTGCTTGTCTGCTGGGCTCTGGCTTTGATGTCTGAGGATACCGCGCCTGGCCCGCTATCCCGCCGAGTTCGCCCACTCGCCCACTTCTCTTCTCATCGCCCCTCCTCGGTGTTATTCGTAACGGCGCGCGGTGTTCGCATGTAATAGTACTTACGCGATTCACCTACTCACCCAAGCTCAAGTAGAGTATCCTTTTTCGCTGGGCGCAGGTTCCGGTACCTATCCGAAGTAGTAGGGCAGGTGGTCCTTCCAGCTCCGGCAACTGGAACTGCAACTGCCAGGGTCAAGTGTTGAGGTACTTCCCACAAGGTACTTACTTGCCTTAGTCGGTGACGCCTTAATCATTGACAGCCCCAGTCCGTCATCCTCTCTCTTAGCCTTAGCCCCCAAGCACCCACCCCTCCCACCCCTTATCCTGCTCTTATCATCCATCCCGCATTCTTCCTTGCCCATCGCTGTTGGTCCCAGTAGGTCGCTGCCACATATATCTGGTGTGTGTGGCCTGAGTCTTGACCTCTTCTTGACCTCCTTCTGTCACGAATACCTGATTTTCCCCCGAACTGTTCCAAGGATTCGATCTCGAACCGTTGTCGAACCACAAACGATACACGTCTATAACTACCAGGGTGCCGCTATCGAAGCGCCACTGCGATATCGCGACTAGGGGAGCCTTATCGTGATACTCGCTCCTCTCTTATCGGACGAACACGACTCTTCTCTGGTTGTTTCTTCCCCTTCAACCGACCCGACGACTCGAATAGAGGCCCATCATGGCCTTCCAACAACCTACCCGCCGGCTGTCTCAGCAGCGCGCCGTCCGCCCGGTGCACGAGGACGAGCGGGACGCTCCCCAGATCCACCATGACGCTGCCACGACCGATGCCTCCCACTCCTGGGTGCTCTTCGAGCCCACCGATGACACAACGACAGCTTCTTACCTCAGTGAAGAGGAGGAGGAGTCATTACCTACTCCCGGAAGATCGAGGCTTAGTGACATAGGTAGTCTCAACACGTTTTTACACTCTGCTCGGGACACCGACTCGCGACAGTCGGGCGTTCTGTCCAGCGCCGTCGACGAGGAGTCTGTCGAGGACGACCCCGAGCTCGACAGCCTCGACAGCCACCTACCTGAATTTCGGACAGTACCTAGTCTATACACTCAGTCTGCCGGTGCCGCAGTGGGCCAGAATGTCCCTGTACTACCGGCCCACGATGGCCTGGGTTCTTTCCGGCTTGACAGTCCTGAGGTCCAGGAGCAGCTCTATGCCTTTGAGAGGTTCAATCCTAACCACCTGCGGAGGCGGCGTGAGAGTCTCGAGCTGGCCCAGCTCGAGATGGAGGTCGAGCAGGAGCAAGAGACGCACAAGATGCAGAGAATCGAGGCTTGGCGTCTAGAACAAAGTCGCATCCTCTTGCAAGAGATCAGCAAGGAAACCAGACGCCGCCGCCAGTCTATGGTGTCTGCAAAGCCGACAATGTCAACAGAAGAGAAGCAGGCGGAGGACGTTGCAACATTAAGTGTGATTGGAAATGAGGACGATGCTGACAGCATGGACTGGCACTATGAATCGACTGACACCAAGGAAGAAGACGGCGGTGTCCTCGCCAAGATTGCCCGCAAGGTTCTCCACGAGTTGGGCATTGACGAGAGGATGCTCTCCATTCTCCTTGGAGAGGAGCTCCCGACTGATGAGGACCTTTCTACAACGCCCAAGACAAGCGCCGATCTTTCTGCCACACCTACACCGAACTCTGACTCATCGTGGCAGTTCCGAGCTCTCGAGCGCGTGTCCAAAGAGCTTGGTCTGCTGGTGAATCAGGTGTCACCTCATCCGGGGGCCTTCTCAACGTACACTCGCATGCAGCAGATGCCGATCCCCTACGCCGGACTACCAGTCATCCCAGAATCGGCTGCTGATACGCCAATTGCTCCCGTGCGGGAAGCGTCGACAGCAATGCCTGAATTCCGACCAACAATGGTTCAGCATGCGCGCCCTATCGACATCCCCACTGTGCGGCCCCAGTCGGATGCTCCCGTGCCTGTGACTCGAGATGAGTCAACTCCTCTGCCCACATCTTTCACCCAAGAGGAGTGGGAGCAAGACTTGGACGTCAACCTCGTTTTCAGATATCTGCGGTCTCGTTTTAGCTCACGGTCTACACCGTCGTCGGCTTTCACAACTGGTACTTCCCACCTTGCCACCTCAAGCACCCCAGACACAGCAGCTAAGGCCGCGCGGGTGCGTCAGCATCACCCGCTCGTATCCCGAGCACGACCGGCAGAGCGGAGGACATTCAAGGCGACGACGCCGTCGAGTCCAGCCGCCATGCGGCACGCGTCTAGCTGTGCCAGCCAGAGCACGAGA